ATATATAAAGAAAAAAAATAAAAATATAATAAGTGATAACATGGGAGGGTATGTGTGGATATATTATTTTTTTTTCTTTTTACTTCTAACTTTGTATTGAATGATAGGCAATTGAAATGAAATAAAGAGAAGGTGAACATAATTTCTTATCTGAAAGTTTAAAATTAAATATGAAAACGAAAGTCGTCTAAGGCGTCTTTCCTACCTTTATAATCGTCAAATTAAGAATCAATTTTTACTCTCCCAAAATTAAAGTAAAATAGAGATAATAAAAAATCATAATAAGGATAATCTTTTATAAAATGACGATCAACGACTTTAGTTTATATTGAGAAAGACGCTTATATTTAGTATCTAATTATAACCTTAACGCAAGGAACAAAAGAAAAATTATACAAGATTTTTACTTCATTAATTCATAATTTAACTCTCAGATAAGGTAATAGTATATATTATTTATTAAAAAAAATACCATAATAGTAATACATATCTTGAAGTAACACAAAATTTATTACTAAAAATTATTTTTACCTACATAATAATATAATGTATATTGATATATTATTGAAAATTGTAGATATAAATTATAGTGACATATATTATTAAATTTTATTTAAAATTAATACTAAAATTATATATAATTATATGTCAAATAAATATTTACATGCATATATTATTATAATAATACTATATGTCAATGTATCTGGCATTTCTTATACCGATTTTATTCTATTTTCTTATTAATCTTTGAAATAATATTAAACTATATTTCATTTTATTTTTTGAACCCATCCTGATTTGTTGTATCATAGGTTCATAACTCATACAACTAATTAAAAAATAAATAAACATAATGTTATGTCATTTTCACTTGGTAATTAATCCCAAAAGTTTCAAGATATAACTCATACACAATTACCTGAACTAAGTGCCTAATAGTGTGTTTGAAAATAAGTTTGTACACATTTTCTCTCCACATCCAACATAATTTTACGTAAAAGCTATTGTTTATTGCTTCCTATCAAACGTGATTTTTCACGTTTCTAACACTAATGCAAACACGCTATAAAGCAAGTCCAATCTCATTTGGATTTTTTGTTTGGTGTTATTGAATAACAGGAGGAGGTCGTCTTACAGAAGAAAAGGTCCAAAGGTTCATATCATTATTCCATTGTATAATTACCAAATGTTATAGCTTATCATAATACAACTTTGCAGACTAAAACATTTATTTATCTTTCAAACACTAGTATGAAAAAAAAAAAAAAAAACTAGTCTTACGATCGGAAAACATAAAACTTTTTCGATATGAAAATGAAATATTTTTTCCCTAAAATTTTATGTCTGAATTAAAACTTAAACTTACATTAAACACACTAAATAAATATATATATAAAAAAAAACCTTAAATATGTTTCTCTCTCAAATTTAGGTATATTAACTTTTTGTCTCTAAATATAAAACTATTTTTTTAGTCAATGTAATTAGAAAATAATTATTTTAATTCCTCAAATAAATCATAAATCGTGAGAGATAAGAATTGTTTGAGTCTGTTATATAACATTAATTAAGCATATAGAAGTAAAAATAAATTTTGTAAGATAAATTTAGTAATAAATGAATGATGTTTTATAAATTTATTAATTTTTAAGCTACCTAAACTTTTTAAAAACAAAAAATTAAAATAAACTTTTTAAAATTAGACAATTAAAAAAATCAGTTTTAAATATTAGCAACCAAAAACATTTTAAGGCTGACAAAGAATTGGTGATTACTTAGATTTGTGAAAGCAAACACGTTTTAATGTGGATAAATTATGTTATATTTTTTGACTGTATAAAAGTTACTTAATTGTATTTCACGTGCAAAGCAGTGTCGAGTTTTGAGGTGCTTTATAAGGCAAATACTGGTTGCTTAGAGGACCCAACACAAGTGGTTTTTTGCCTTCATCGTCTTCCTCTTGAAGCTATTGAAGTTGTTTGTTATGTGTTTGCCCGAGGGAGAAAGAGAGAGAGAGAGAGCCATGGCACTAGAAGCAGTGGTATTTTCACAGTCACAAGACCCCTTTGGTGGTTACGGATCATCAGTGAAGGACTTTTACAACTGCACCTTGTTGGCTTCACCCAACTGGGGGGACTATGAACCACACATCAACACAGAAGAAGAAGAAGAACAAGGTTCTATTATCTCTACTTTTCTCGATAATAGTAATAATAACAATAATAATAATAATAATAACAACCCTTATGGAGATTGGACCACTAGCTCCTCCTCATCAATGCTACCCCACTTGAATGATCCTCAAGAAACCACTGACCCCAACAACAGCCATAACTTAGATACCTTAACTACAACTATTACTCGCCCCAAGAGGCGCAGAGCCAAAAGCAGAAAGAACAAGGAGGAAATTGAGAACCAAAGAATGACTCACATTGCTGTGGAGCGCAATAGAAGAAAGCAGATGAACGAGTATCTTTCTGTTCTTCGATCTCTAATGCCAGACTCTTATATCCAAAGGGTACTTCCACTTCACTTTCTTTTTACTTCTTTCTTCTTTCTTGTTTCTTTTCTTGCAAATAAGAGTTTTTCTGGATACAAGTCAGAAGAGTTTATCTCTAGAGTGTTTTTTTTTTTCAGCAGATAAGCTTGTAGACTTATATGCTTGTATTCAAAGTAACACTTCTACTTCTACACTTTGGTTTTGCTTAATTTGTTTGTTTTTTTTTTTGTTATGTTTGGTTGGTAAATGAAGGGTGATCAAGCTTCTATAATTGGAGGTGCTATTAACTTTGTCAAGGAGCTTGAGCAGAGGCTGCATTTTCTTGGTGCTAAGAAAGAAGGAGAGGGGAAATCTGATGGTGGTGGTGCAAATGGAAACATGCCCTTTTCCGAGTTCTTCACCTTTCCACAGTATTCAACAAGTGGCGGTGGCACCGATAATTCTGCAGCCAAAGGTGAGGACGTGGGTGAGGTTCAGTCTGGCATTGCTGACATAGAAGTTACCATGGTGGAAAGCCATGCAAATCTCAAAATAAGGTCCAAAAAACGCCCAAAGCAGCTCTTGAAGTTGGTATCTGGTTTGCATACCATGCGCCTCACAATCTTGCACCTAAATGTTACCACAACTGGTGAAGTTGTTCTCTACTCTCTTAGTGTTAAGGTTTGTCTTTGTTGGTGCATTAGATTTCACATGTTTTTAGTCAATTTTCTTCTCCGAGTCTTTATAAGCTCTTAAAGTGAACATGTGTTGAAAATTTTAGGTAGAAGATGATTGCAAGTTGGGATCAGTTGATGATATAGCTGCAGCTGTGTACCAGATGCTGGATAGGATTCAACAAGAGGCAATGCTGAATTAAGATTTAAGATCAGAAGCTTGACCAAATTTGCTTTGCCCCATTTGATTTTTAACCTTACTTCATGGTGGATAATTATCTCTCACTATTTTGCTCTTTCAAGATGTGCCTAATTATTGCAACTCCTATTCACACTTTGTTAATCTACTGATGGTGCCTTGATGTGGGCTCCTTGGAGGAAGTTTTTTGGTTTATTCCTTCTTGTGTATGTCTTTGTAGCATGAGAGCTCCTTTTCTTCTCTCTCTCTCTCTTTCTTCTCTTTTTTCTCTGGGGTTGGGGTGAAGACTGTGGTATATTATGCTTGAGACATATTCAAGTGCTTGGTCAATTTTGCCTACCTTGCTTTGAAATTGGTAAGTCTTGTCTCCCTCAACCATAAGCCAAAACCAAATTGTCAAGCTGAAATTGAGAACTTCTCAAAATAACATTGAATGAAAATGAGAGCCGAGATTTTTCGGCAGTTGTCGCATATAATTAAAATATTAAATAGTCCATATTGTTTTCTTTTATTTGGTTGTCATGGTTTAAAGAATTTGTTCTGAAATACAAAAAAATACCAACTCAACATTCATCAATGCCTTCCATATGTCTTCATGTACCAATCAATGCAAGGATTTGAAAAGGTTTAAGACTCCATCACTTTTAACTATGTTACCTAACCTACACATACTGTATAATCAGAGGTTATCTTCTGATGATTGGACTCAAGCACTACAAAATGAAAGTTATTATGTAAAGTTTGATTAAATGGAAATAGTGATAAAATTTGTGCATTATTTTCTATTCCGGATTTGTAGCAAAAGGTTCTAACTGTCATAAAAGACCCACCTACACCGTATTTTGTACCAAATAAGTACCAAGTAGAGTTGCATTGCAGGGGAAGGCTGCGGAGAACAGCTTCAAAATGGTTCACCTTTCTCTGTGCATTGTGTTTCACACACAACAAAAAATAAAGGGTCCATCCTTATCATCATCAGCATCAAGATTGCTATACAGAAACCAGGATGCATGTGTTTGAGTGTACGTGTATGTATTATATCACGGACTCTTACTTCACTTTCTGAGTCTATAATTATTTTATAAGTTGGGAAAAAAAAGCAAATGATTAGCACATTGAAGGTAAAATAATGGCCCCATGAGGTTGTACTATGTTCAAAGACGAATCCCTAGGTAAAATAAAAATAAAAGGAAGGTTGGTTTGTTTGTGGGGTGGGATCTCCAAGAGAAGAATGAAAAGAATAAAGTTACAGATGTAAAATAAACTATTGCCAAAAGCAAAGTCCTTTTCTGTGGTTAACTTGTTGAATGGAGGTGTGCTATTGAGAGCAAATAGAGTAACTTGTCTAGGTGAAAAAGCTTTCCCTTCATTCATATACTTTATTTTGTACTCAAACTTTTTGTATGGATTGGAGATTTGAGTTATCATGATGATTGTTGTAGTAGTGAACTGTATGACTTTTTAAGTAGTGGCCATTCAACAACCATGATCTCATTCTCTGTGATCTTTTCTCAAATTTAATACCTTGTTCTGTTCCCCCTTTGAGTGAAAATTCTCCCTTGGGTCAAATCCTAAACAGTAATGACATAGATTCATGGAATACTTTCCAATTTTATAAGGATGTCCTCAAATACTTCAACTATCTTGGGAGTAAGTATTTGAATGTGTTTCTCTTGAACTAGCAGTACCACCAACCAACAAAGGTAGCCAAAAGTTGCAATTTTGCAGAGAAAGTTACAAAAAAGTGAATTTTGCTACTCCTAATTTATGGAAAAAAAAAGTATAAAATTCTCTTCATAATGCTGCGTTAGTCCACTAAATTTTTGCGCCCTTTCCATAGGTAATTGTTGTTACAAGGAAAACATATTGAAGATAACATCCTATATACCTAACCGGGCCCTGGCTGCAACAAAATTCATTTCCGGGCCCTAAAATGTAATTATGTTATATAATATCATAATACTAACATTTCCTTAATTTTTTTTCTTCCTTTTCAGTATATGAACTCATAAATTTTGTTCATGATTAATTTTTGTTAAAAAATTTAGCTAATAACTTTTAAAGATGTCTTTTGCAATCACATTTTTTTTTCATTATATGCTAAAAAGATTAGAGTCTAGAATAATTCGTACAATTGTTGACTTATAAAAATAATATACAAATTAAAAAAAATATAATTAGTACTTGTATTTGATTAAAAATATTCTTAATTTTATAATGGTCTTTATTATTATTATTATTATTATTATTATTATTATTTATGGGTTTGAACATAGGATTAACTTTGTTTGATGGGATTTTTTTTCTAAATTTGTTAGAAAAGATTTTTGTCGTAATCTTCGTGGTTTGTCAATGTTTAAATTTTGGTGATGTTTTATGATATTAGTCTATATATATTTTTTTAATCTTATATAGGAAGTGTTGTAGATGATTAATAGGCCTTAAGATGTTAATAATATTGAGATATCTTGGTTCTATAATAATATTTAGTATTCTTAGCTTTAATAAATAAAAAAAGTAAAAATTACATCATCAATTAAAAAGATAATAATTAGTTAATAAACTACTAGGAATTTAAGATCAACAGAATGATAGAACTGAAATAATGTGTAAAATGATTGGTTCTAACTATATGTAGCGCAACAATTGTATGCATAAAAAAAATTAATATTATCTTGAAATTTTAAATAAATATTATTTTTTAGTATTTTAGATTACATAAGAATTTTGAGTCGTTGACAACGCAATAAATATAATCTTTCAATTGGGTGTATTTACTATTTGTTGAAATAATTATGATTATTAAAATTACATCGAACTAGTCCGTTCGATCCGTTGAACTTCTAATCGTTCCAAAGAAATCACATAATCGTCCCATAATGAATCAAACAAAAATCAATAGAATTGGTCTTTAACTAGGCAAATTGATAATTCAACTATTTTAATTATTAAGATACACCTATTTTCAAATGATTGACATGTTAGAATAAGGAGTCAACCTTAATCAATATTATGATAATTAATAATCATATAAAGTATTTAATTTTTATTTGTAGATCTTGCAGATATTATTGTGTTGTTGAACCTAGATGTTATGTCATATATTTGACTTTATGTGTAACTTTGAATGATATATTAGTATATGTTTATTTTTATGCTTGTAATGAGACATCCATACGTCCAACTTAATTTATGTATTTTTTTTAATGGGAATGTTTGTGAATAAGTATTTAAACGCATCATAATAGGGTTAGCATAGTGATTGGGTGAGAAAGGGCTGGAGTAGTTAGAAGCATGAGAACCTAGGTTCAATTCTCATTGCGACCATCTTTGTAATTTTTTCAATCTTTATTATAAATATAAAAAAAACGCATCATAATAGTAAACTTGTAAGAAAAATTAATTTCTCAGACAATTATTTATTTGGGATTTAACCATTAGATTCACTTATTTAAAAAAAGTTAAACTTGAGTTTGACTTTAACTCAAAAGCCTTTATAGTCAAACTTTATAAATTGGGTTAGTTCATTTAAATAATCAAATCTAATTTTAAGTTTAAATTTGTTTGTTTAATTAAATGAATGAGTTTGAATGAATAATTTTCTAATTAATGAGTTGACTCAAAATAATTCACAAATAACTTGATTTATTTACATCTTTAGTTATGAGTTTTTGCATTTATCAATATTTTTTAATATTATTAATTATGAACTTTATATTTTTTGTTTAATGTTACTTAA